TTAATATAGTTCCATATATATCGAAAATTTTTAATAAAAAATCGCGCTAAAAAACACTAATTATATAAAGAGAAGCTCCTTCTTTTTATAAGAGGTGATGTCGTCAAAGGCTGTATCGAAATTTAGAAACCTACTGCAGACTTTCTATATATTAAGGGAGAGTGTTATCACCCATACATATCGAATTTTTCATAGCGTATATCTGGGAAATATTTGTAATAGTGTCCTGGAAATTGGTATAGTGATTTTGGGGCTACTGGAAAAGGGGGCGTGGCGCTTCCCAAACATATTGAAACTTTTATCTATCCGTAAATATATGTATACACCCAGAATACAGTGTTTTTTTTTTCGTAATATATTTTTTTGTTTATTTTTTATAGAAATATAGTTCATTTTGCATCATTTTGCATTTTGGGTAAGCAGTTTTGTAGTTCACTCAATTTTGTATCATAAAGTGCAAGTTACCGTTGATTTTTAAGATTTTTTCGCTGATGATGTTGCGCATTTTCTCCATATAACGAATGCGTAAGAGTTTTTTTGTATGGGAAAAATGCCGAAGAGTGTCAGTATGAAAAAGACTTATTCTGGTGGGTGGACTCCTCCTAAACGACCGAAACGATTTTAATGACATCTTTTATGTGTTTGAGTAGGCCAGGTGGCGCTAGAGTAGAGTTATTACTCAAAATCCTATTTCTGATCCGATTTGACTCATATTCGAGACATATATGTATTGGTAACGATAGGGGCAATACTATTGCAAAAAAAGATGCGCAAGGTGGCGCTGGAGCCGAGTTATTGCTAAAAATCGTCAATTCGGAATATCAGAGATCAAAGTCAAATTACCCGCGTTAAATCAACCATCAGAACCATTGCGGTCCTTGCTTTACGTTGACTAAACAGAATGTGGACCAATGATACTCACCAGTTTGGATATTGCCACCAACTATACTATACAGATTCAAGGACGATTCACAATCGAGCCGCAAGGACTTCTTCCCGGTATAACGCTTTCGTCAGATT